GAGCAAGTGCATATTAATTTTTTAAAGGAAATTATGTTGCTTCGCAAATCTACAAATAATTAAAGTAATGGTTTATTTTCAATTTGGTAGATGCCCAATGTATATATTCAAAGAAAACTTCGACTTTGAAATTCTGGTGTAATTTTCTCAATACAAATACTAATAATTGTTTTCTGCAGACATGTTTATAAACAAATGTTATGTGAGTAGGAAGAACAACAGAAAAATTGTATAGATCTTGGAATTTTTTGGGAACAACAAGAAGTTAGTTTTGTCATTAAACAGTTTTCTTTTCTTGTAGAACAGCGTCTTACTGATGCATTTTTACCGGCCGCCAGGAGGCGGTCGGTTACTTTATATGAAAGTTTGAAGTCGCTGTGCGTTTCTGCGGAGTTAGAACAATTTAAATAAAAATATTTAACGTTCATATTATAGAACATTAAACAGATATTTTTAAATGTTTCACAAAAAGCACAATAATCATGAAATTAAAATTTTATAAATAAGGGGGGTAAATGTTTCATCCAATCCTGATTGACAAACTCCGACAAGACTGAAGTGCGGTGAAGTTATATTTAGGCATAGTCTGAAACAAAGACCACGTTGTATATCAACGATTTTACTTTCTCTTTTTAAACAGCATAAACAGGTTTTGTTGTATTTATTCTAAAATGACGTATATATTTATACATTTTCTATGAGAATTTTCAACAAATTGATGAAATATTTATTTCTTAAAAGCACAAAATCTTACATTTTGGTCTAGGAGTCTACGCGTTTTACAATGTGCCAAGCATTTTCCCGCCACATCTCAACTCCAAAACAAAGAGACTGAAAGAGAAGAAATGTGGTGGATCTAGAGGGAGTGGGGGGGGGGGGTAATATCCTCTAAGAGAGAGCGAGGAGCCGCATATATTTCATATTTGTTGCGTTTTTTTTTAAAGTAAAACTATACCTTAGTTTAAACTTTAGTTCTGTACTTTTATGTAAAAACTACTATAAACACCAAACTTCCACCAGAGATGTTCGTTTACAATTTAAGTACAAAACTGAGTGCAGAGACGCAGAGGTTTATGGACAGTTTGTTTATACATATAATATTGTACATGCATCATGCATGAAGAAAATCGGCAATGTCGCATACAAGTTTTTCATGTCACGAGGATATTTTAACTACTTTATGTGATGTGATTAGCATTGCTGCGAGAAGCAGTTTAGAGAACCAAGTATTATTTTTAACAGATAAATATAAGAAATCTTAAAACATGTCACGCAAATTTCAGTTTTTAATTACTTTATCGATGGAACAATTAATTGGTTTGCGGCCGATTTTTGACGCTTGCGTCAATATATGTTTCTTGTTAAAAAGTTGTTATAGAGTTTTTGAAAGCTCATCAAAATGTAGATTGCAAGGCGTCACGTGATCGAATCATCAAACTCCATACAGTGTCGATTCTCCGGGACTACGTTCCCTACGAATGACGCCACTGCCACAGGCTTTCCAAACTTTTTCCAAAATTTGGAAAATTGGCTTGCGCGAGTAATTCGGTTTTCAAAAAATTCAAACTGAATGTTGTATATAAGTTTATGGATTAAAATAAAGAAAAATTAAAATCGTTCTATTTATTTTTTAGAGCGGCAAGTAACGGTTTATTGTTTTCAATCCGATTAAATCCGGATTATTTTTTTCAAGCGTAGTTTACACCGAATTATGGTTAGAACGGTACCTAGTGAAAATGGCACCTGGTGAAAACGGCACCTGGAATATGCAAAACGGCACTTGGTTAAAACGGCACTTAGTTAAAACGGCACTTGGTGAAAACAGCACTTAGTTAAAACGGCACTTAGAGGAAAAAGTATATAATTGTGTTATGATATATATATTTTATTTGACTTTTTTAATATTATTGCTAAAAGTAATAAAAATTTCTATACTTTAACAAATAAAGAAAAATTTTTATGGATTATGTCTAATGAAGATGACATGTTGCTTATCAAGCTGGGAAATTTTTTAATCAATATCTTTAAAATAAGAAATAGCAAATTATGCAATGTTAAACAAAGAAACAAATAAATACAAAAGAGTAAGATATAGAAATACTTTAAACAAACTTTTATTTACAGTATATTGATTATGTATGTTGTAATCCCCAACTGCTGTAACATCATTTATCTTTTGTTAGTTACTGCTATCAATTTTGAATTTCTGCTTGTATGTTTTTTTTTTCCTTATTACTTGTATGCCCTGATGGGCCCCAAATTGGTATTAATAAATCTTAAATCTTATCTTATCTATATTTGACATAAGTCAGGCGCGGATCCAGAAATTTTTTCCAGGGGGGGTCCACCCCAGTCAGAAAAAAAAATCCAATCCCAAAAAAAAAGAAAAAAAAACAAAAAAAAAAAAAAAAAAACATAAACTCGCCCAATCGTCAAAAACCTATTTCGTGGGGGGGGGGGGGGGGGGGGGGGGGTAGTGGTGACTTCTATTTCCTCATTTCCTCAAATCTTTCACTATTCATACCCATTTCACACATATTCGCGTTTACCAGGGGGGGTCAGTGTTTTCCAGGGGGGGGCCATGGTAACTTTTTTCTTGTTTTAGTATATACATTTTTTAACCTAGTAAATTCCAGGGGGGGGTCCTGACCCCCCCCAACCCCCCTCTAGACCCGCGCATGTAAGTTCTTTTTTAATTCAAAATTTAATTTATTGACTTTAGAATTTTTTGTGGCTTCAGTTTTGCTTTATTTTCAATCTATCTTTAAAGGTAGTATTTATAACAAACAACACAACAATATGTGGGATTAAAAATGATTATATTTGTAGTATAGTGTTGATGATATGAAAAAAGAAATGGTGTAAATGATTTTTTAAAAATATATATTTACAGCAAGTCTTAGAGTCACTTTTTATCTCACATTTCTATCTAATTCTTTAGAAATTATTTTAACAATATCAACATTGTTTCGTCTTCATTATAAAAAACAAATGTTTTGTTCTTCTACATGTTCTATGTACATGTTTATTATATTGTTAAATGTTGTATGAATATTCATATTTTATGTACAGTTGGGAGAGGATTATCTAAGTTTTTCTAACTTGTGTACAATCCATTTGACATTTTGTCGAGAAATACACAATAGAAGCTGGTATATGATTGCAAATTGACGATCAACAAATTATGGAAGGGGAGGTGTGAAATGGTCTTTTGTTTCCTATTCCTACAAGTGTATTCTAAGTAAACATACTCTAACTGGCTTCTAATTAGTCAACTGTGACTGGCAACCCCCAAAACAGAGTAGTATACATATTTGCAACACTATAATTTTTTTTTAATTTCAAAGGATCATATATAATGATATATATCATTGGGATTTGATCTCTTTTGTAGAAAATAATAGATATATAATTTAACCACTGTACAAAAGTACAATAATTTTCAAATGAATCAGTTTAATTTTTCTACTAAAATATTTTTTTAACATTTTTATCAATAATAATATACACATTTATTACTATATATGTAATACAAAGATCCAGTTTCTGTATAAACAAAATCAAATTCTCAAAATAAAAAAAGTGCCGTTTTGACTACTCTCAAGTGCCGTTTTGACTATTTCCTAAGTGCCGTTTTCACCAGGTGCCGTTTTGACTTGTACCCGTTTTCACCAAGTTGCAATGGCGGCTTCCATGCGTCATTGGAAACGGAGAGAAGTTTGTGTCTCATGGCTGTAATACAACACATTCTGAATGAATTTGATAGAAATACGAGACTGTGGATGCAAGAGACATGGTATATTTCATGGTTGTGCGAATGGCATCAATAATGATGAGAATATTCGAGAAAATAGAGCTTTGTAATATTCGAGACTGATCGAGCTGCTCAATGAAAGCTAAAAATTCTGTGATGGCAGTGCTGAGGAAACATTGATGTGACAAAAGGTTAAGTTTGAATACTGTATAAGACGAGACAATTTCTGTAAATGAGTAACACATGTCCATCGTTATGATAACCATTTAGACCATGAGTTCTCCCAATTTACAAGTCCAGAAAAATCACTATATTTAGAGCTCTGTATAGCTAAATCTACCTATATAGCTTTACTTACCCATATAATGTAGCTTTATTTAGCTATTTTGGAGTAAATTTCTGTTTGTCAAAAGCAGACAAAAAGATGCATAACGAAGTATTATTAGTTTTCAACTTTGAAATGGACTGAAAACAATTCACCTAAAACACACTTTTAAAAATGTTATATAGCAATAAGCATGTAGGTAAATAAAGCTATATAGGTAAATTAAGCTATATAGCTAAATAATTTAATTTCACTTGTATCAAGCTATTTCATTGGCTGAATCATTCAGAGGAACATATAACATTTTGTATAACATAACTTGCCTACGTCACAATGAGTTACGTCAAAAACGTATTACTCTGCTTAACGTTACTTTTAAAATATTGCTCAATTTGAAGCCTTTTTCCGGAGGAAATATTGTCTCATTGTCTACACTGAAATTAAATTATAAGGAATGAAGCTAATTTCAACTTATGTTATCCGATATAACAAAACTTGGGGCAGTTTACGCTTTCTTATAAACCGCGAAGCGGTTTATAAGAAAGCGTAAACTGCCCCAAGTTTTGTTATATCGGATAACATAAGTTGAAATTAGCTTCATTCCTTAAATATAGTGATTTTCCTGGACCAGTTTAATTATAGCATAGACCAGAAGAGTATCATTAAAATTAAAATTAAAAATTAATTATCTCATTCTAGCACGTTAAGTCTTAAAATTATAGAAAATCATTGTTATTATTCAACTAGGTTATACAAGTAGACCATGATGTTACACATACAACATTGTAGATCTCATGTACATGTATCTAGATACAATCTACAAATTTTGAAAATCCACATATTTTCTACTGAGGAATTGAAAATGAAGAATCTGTTATAATAGAGAAGTAAACTAAAGTTTGCTTAAAGGGTTTTAACAGGAAAGGGAGAGAACAATAAGGACAACACCAGGATATGACTACAATGTCACCCAAGGCTTAATTCCCAAAATATAGGACTGTGGTGCTTTATCGATCCAGCTTTCTGACCACAGTAAGGCACTCATGACTGTGACAGATACTGCCTTATTATCACATTGAAGGTAAAAAATTCAAATATCATAATCTCCTTCAACACACAAAACTGTATCAAATTTAGGACAGATCAGGAAGTGCATGATATTTATAAACAACAGTATGGCTAGATGTTAATTGTGTTATGTCATGATACACTTAAACTGTATCATGATTCATATCAAAACATGGAAGCAAATTGTAAAGGGGGGAGCTTAACCAACAAAAAAGGTTAAATCCCAATTTTCAATGCCTATATGTTTTTAATGTCTATTTTAAATTTGCAAAAAAAAAAAAGGGGGGGGGGCTAAGCCCCCCGCCCTTCCAGTTCCAACGCCTATGCTAAATGTCACGATTCAAATTTTTCAAATAAATTTTTCTTTGTTCTGATATATGAAATTCTGAATCTCATTTTCTAAGATAAAAAAAATCTAAAATGAGGTTTACTCTATCAGTTCACAAATAATGATGTAACAGTTCTGAACACTACATACATTACAATAAATACAGCAAAAGTAAATAAAGTGAAAACTCTTTAATTAGGTTAAAGGACTAAAAATAAATGGCATACATTGTAATATCCCTACACTAGCCACAGTTTTATTTTTTTTAGTATAAAGTAAGCTTGAGTAAATCAGGAAAATGTTACACCGTAATGAATTGTATTTGACTTGTTATGCCCCAATATTCTTAGATTTTGGAGTATATATTTTTTTGCCCTGTTTGTCCATCTGTTGGTCTCTCTGTCTGTCTGCCTGTTTGTCCACAAAATCTTTAACGCAGCTCACATTTGGATGTGTGGGTTTATTGCTTTCATATTTCACATATGTATTCCTTAATCTAAATACCTTTCTGCGGGTACAACCAAATTTAACCTTGACCTTTGGATTTTGACTTGCATTTGAAAACCTTTCAATCTTTGCCATAAGCTGCCATGCAGGGCATCAATGTTTCGTAAAAGTCTTGTTTTCTGATATCATTCATAATATCATGATGTAGTTTTGTAACCATGCAATTACATGTGCATGACATTGTGTTTACTGTTTATTATCTATTTTGCTGGAATGCCTTACATTTATATGTATCTGTTATAGTGTTGTCACTATGATCGATTTATAATCAATGATCGGTCGGAAAGGCTGTCGATTTCAGACAATCGATTGGAGATTTTAACAATCGATTAATCGGTATATTTCAGCACATATCTTTTTTACAGTTTTCTCACTCTTATTTCAAGAACAGGCTCTTGTTATCAAAATATATATCTTTCAAGAGTTGTCCTTTACTGTTTTAAAATACATGTACTTAAAATCTCTTTAAAATAAATCAAAAGATAATGAAATTTGTATTTCTAAACTGAAGAAACTAAACTACTTGTATAAATGCAATATACATGTATTAGTTTTCAGTATTTGGGGGAATTCACTTGTCATTTCATACGGAATCACAAGGATTTGCAATATTAAATGTCTAATAACAGTTTTAAAAATTAATTCCATATACTTTTAGATGATCATGTAAATTAAAACCTGATCTGACAATGCTTACTTTTCCAAGGCCAAGTAATTCCTAATCATGCAAAAATCTGTATTACTGAAATTGTTAATCAAACTGCATATATATACAGTTTTTAGAATTTTGATCTGTACAATGCACCTTAAATTTACTTACATTATTTAACAATAAAATTCTAAATTTTATAAAATCTAATGCCTTTTTATGCAAAGGGTTACTGATTCGATTATTGGTCGATGATCAGTCGGTTAGGGTCAACAGATGCTACCGATTAATCGATTCTGATTTTCAACCGATTTGACAACACTAATCTGTTATTCATAAATTTAGATGCATAAATGACTAATGTTTTTTTTATATGTGTGTATAAGTAAATAGACAGTGTGAGAAGTATGCATTTATCACAATTTATTTTTCAGACTGATTTTTGAAGGACCTTTCTACCTAAACAGAAATGTATGAATGTCAGCATCACTGTTTCAATCACTCAGCACCCTACCATCAAAGTGGATATGGTCTTCAAAGACAAAAACAGTGGATGTGATCTTCAGAGACAAAATGAGCCCCCAAAAGAAGTCACTCTTGTTTAACTGGAATAATTTTTTCACATGTATCATTGTTTTACACCTACATATTTTTAAGTAGAAGTAACAGTTATTCAACATATTTTTTCTTTTAATTTGAATACATGTAGAGGCAAATGATAAAATGATCACATCAGAGTTTCATTGTGTTGTTATATTTATGTATGATACTATCAATCATAACAAGTTTGATACCGGAAATCCGGAAAAACACCCTAAATGTGTATTTATTTTGCAATGTTTTTCATAAGTATTATACAAGTCCATCACACCTTTGCTGCCATACAGAGATTATGTATTTTACTTTGAAATGTCAAGAAGATTCAATTTGAGATAAATTTCTACTCTTTACTGAATCAAATTGAATGTGGAAAAAATACAAAGATACAGAAAAAACCCTCACCTTCTTTTAGTTGTGGACAATGTTGACATTAGCAAATTTGTGCTGCCCCCTTTTATATTGAGTTAAATTGATTGTATTGGATTTCTTTTAATTACAATAAGCCCTAACAATTTTTTTTTATTTACTTGAAACACTGAGGTTTTTAGAACAATAATCAGGCATTGAGCAATTTTAAAAGAATGTATGTAAAGGAGGAGGGCATAGCAAGGAAAAATTAAAAAAAAATACAAAAAACTTTGACAAGCATAAGTCTGATTGGAGACAGACAATGTACATGTATTTTCAACAGAAAAAATGAATACAATAACATAATCATGTAGTGATTCTGTTACTGCAAGGGAAAGTGCACAGAGGTGGTGACTGTATTTTAAAACTAAGAAGTAAAGAATTCTGAATATCCTCACCCACCAAATGTTATAAAGGTGCACGATAACATTGTCATTGAAAGAAACGAAATATCATTTTATCCAATCAGAGAAAGATTTTCTTCAAACGATAGAGAAACTAAAACATGTCTTCAAAGGCGGATCCGGACGATTGATATGCAGGAGCAGAATTTTAATCAATTACGTTGTAGAGGAAAGGAGAAAGGGGAGGGGGGGGGGGTTCCGAACATAACCATTTTACTGTTGAAATTGTTCACTGAAAGGACATCCCTTGTATCTTGAAGTATACATGTACTGATGCATTCAAATTGGCATGATTATATTCACGAAATTTGTATGTGTGAAAAGTTTTAACCAACAGAAATGGTATTACGTTTGAAGTCATTTTTTAGCTCTCTCTCTCTCTCTCTCTCTCTCTCTCTCTCTCTCTCTCTCTCTCTCTCTCTCTCTCTCTCTCTCTCTCTCTCTCTCTCTCTCTCTCTCGGGGGGGGGGGTGTATTTAAAAAAAAATCTGGCTGCCCGCCTATATTTTATAACGATATTACGTTCCTGTTTATCGATGCTGAAAATGCAAATTGAATTTTGATTTTAATATTTGTTTACTTCCTCAATTATTTCGTTGATATTTCCCCCCAATTCTAAAATCGGGCGTATGAAAAACAATCGTCTTTATTCATGTTATTAGATTTAAAATAGTGGAGAAAAGCTAGAAAAGAAAGAACGGTAAAAAAAAAATATTCTAAAGCAGTTTAATCATCGTGTATAATAATTCTTTACCAGTTTCTATGTTCTATAATATAATCGGCGTCAATGTGTTATTTTGAATTTTATTTACCGATTCAATAAGTCAGTAAATAAACAGGCTGTTTGCATAAAGCTTGTTAATGATGGACCTTATGTTTTTTAGTCTGTACTAAAATACTAAATGCATTTGATTGAATTTTGTACTTAGCACATAGATAACGCAAGTATTTTTTTTTTAGACATATTAATCATCTCGCATGCACATGGTGTATAAACCATGATAATTATTAAACATGATAGATCTATATTAAATATTTAAATTAAAAAAAAAATTGATATTAAAACAGGGGATCACTAATGCTTGTATGTATTTTCATGTATCAACAGAATTTTACTCGCATAATCAAATACAATTTTTAGATCTAGCATTCTCTAAATTTTAGCGAGTCTTATTTAACTGTGACGTCACGCAGTCAACCACGGTTGAACGAGGTCATATCAAAAGGCCTGTGGCAGCGATGATATGGAGTTGTAGCGTAACGTAATACTGAGCTGTTTGGAGCTTTTTAAAGATCAAAAGTTATGGCGAAGGTTAAAGTGCGTATTTTTTGTAAAAGTAGGTCAAACTCCAAGGTCAAAAGAGCAAATTTTGGTGGCACGTAAAGGAATGCTATGTTACAAGAAATACACCTGTGAAATATGAAAGCCATAACCCCACCAATGAAAACTTATCGGCAAGGTTTAAGTTTTTGCAGAAAAACAGACGGACGGACAGCTAGACAGACGGACGAACAGAAAGGGCAAAAACCGCCAAAACTTATTTTTCGAGGGCATACTTCTTTAACTTTGCACAGTTAAAAGTAAATCAATGCTTTTTATGTGTATCACACTGATACTTCGAATTTTACGATTAAAAATGAAAAGAAAACTAGTAATACAAGTCACCAAGAACGACATATAATATTACATGTCTGCATGCATTATTTATTTTAACTTAAATCAAATATAAGAGAGGTCTAGATTTGTGAGAACTAGAGCGTAGCCTTGGTCAGAACTTCGTCAATCTTAATTTTTATACACACCGCTTAAAAAGCGGGGGGGGGGGGGTTATATAGTTATCGGGATGTCCATCCGTCCGTCTGTATAGCTGTTCGTCTATTCCTCTGTCCGTTACTCTTTGGGGTACCCATGTCTTATTCGCAAATCATCTTATACCACTGAATGAAATTTTATGAAACTTTCACAGAATCTTTGTTACATATTGCCATTGTGACCTCCTTATTTTGATTTTTAATCAGACACATACTAATACTAATTACTTTAAGCCACAATATAACACAAATTCTCTTTTAAAAATTTCGTAGTGGTGACTTCTATTGCCTCTAATCTTTCACTTTTCATACCCATTTTACACATATTCGCGTTTACCAGAGGGGGTCAGCGTTTTCCAGGGGGGTCCATGATAACTTTTTTCTTGTTTTAGTATATACATTTTTTAACCTGGTAAATTCCAGGGGGGGTCCTGACCCCCCCCCCCCCCCCGACCCCCTCTCTAGATCCGCGCATGCATATTAAGAGGAGGTCTGGAAAAAAAATATGTGCTAAAAATAGACCACGTGCTGCTATCCATGAACTACTTTCATGGTTATTTTACACTCATTTTGAAGACAACAGTACCTTGTTTTGAACTTGAAATTACCATTTAAAAGTGCAAAATTTAGACATTTTCTCAACAAATGGTTGTAGAGAGAACATTAATGCATACTTTGCATATTTTTTTTTTGGATTTTTTAAGGCTCGGCTGAATTCTGTAACTTCGCAGTTCTAAGCAGCATATCAAAAGCATTTTCTGAAAAAGTATGGATTATATACACAACATGCGTTCAATTATGCATCTTTATTGTATCTTTATCATAAGGACTTGAAATATGATCAAAATTAATATAATGTATTTTAGCCATTTGAAGAAATATTTACATTTTGTTTTTATTGCACTTATGGTGGCCGTACATCCCCCTTAATTAAGTAGATTTTGGGAATATAATATATCACAACCTCCCAAATAAGGGTATAACTTGTCTTCCTTATTCCTGCTTTATTTATATACCCACAAGTATATAAACATCCAAAAAGGTCATAGGTATTTTAAAATAATCAATATGCTACAGAGAAACATTGGTCTTATTTTCTGTGTTATCATCGTCTATGTGTATGGCTGTCCTGATAAATGTTCTTGTAATGGGACAGTGGTGATGTGTGAAAATCAAGGATTTTCGTTTGTACCACAAGATATCCCCGACAAAACGACCGAACTGTAGGTATTCTGTAAACCCTCTGGCATATTCATATTCATTATGTAGTAGATATATTTTCTTTTAATTATTTCTTCAAGCGAGGTGATAATTCTTTTTATGTCAATTTTCTGTTGTATACAATAATTTTAATCATTTCTTGATTGTGGGTACGTGGATTGCTTTCTTAAAGACAACCGCCTCGTCTTTAAAACTTTCATATCTTGTCAGTTTTCAAAATAATTTTAAAGCTATTTGACTCATAAAGTTACATTACGATTATTGTCTTCCTCGGCGAATATAATTAAGACATTGTAAGTTATAATGTAGTCCTTGTTTTTAAGGCTCACTATTTTAAGTATTGTAAACCAACTATTATTCGCGTCATCTTTTATTCGCGATTCGTCAATTTGAAATCAATATGCGTCGATTAATTTTTTCTAATTAATAAACATTCTCTTCATGATACCCAAAGCAAAATAAATAGTTTCCGAAGATTAATATTCGAGAGTTTAAGTAGGGTCGCGAAACTCGCAAGCAGATATTTCTCTCAAACGATTTTACAGTATATTGAAGAACTTGGATTTAATTATGATAATTGTTATCCACCTTAATGAAAAATTTTCTGTCATATCATATGTCAGTCTAAATTTGAGATATTTATACAATAAGATTGAAAGTGATTTACCTATACATGTAATGGAAATTTGTGATATTTTATATTTTAAGTATTCTTATACTTTAAAGGAGCTTTAGCAAAATTTGAATACTTCTTTCTTTATTTTACAAAAAATCAATATCATCAAAACATGGATCTTTTTTCACACTTACTACAACCATTCCCAACGAATAAGTAAAGTCCAGGCTTTCTAAACGTCACACATGGCACGCCAAATTCACAAAAATGAGATAAATCTAGTTTACTAGTATACTTAACGATTCGTTAAGTATAGTTAACGATTCGTAAAGTATAGTTTTCATCTGTAAAACTATATTTAACGGTTGTTAACTATAGTTTACGAATGATAATCTAAGTTTATCTGTCTGTTATAAAGCGTTAACAATAGATTTTGTTGATAAACATAGATTCACGTCTGTAAACTACAATTTACGATCGTTAACTTTAGTTAAGAATTGTTAATCATAGTTTCACAAATCGTGAAACTATATTTATCAGATCGTAAACTATAGTTAACGGTTTGTAAACTATAGTTTACAAATCGTGAAACTGTATTTATCAGATAATCTATGTTTTGCAATCGCAAATGATAGTTTTCGGTGTTAAGTATAGTTTACGGTTGTGAAACATAGATTCTCGGGTAAACTATAGTTTACAGATATAAAATATAGATTAACGTTGTTAACTATAGTTTACAGTCCGTAAACTATAGTTTACAACCGATAAACCTAGTTTATCGATTGTGAAACTATGATTATCTCATTTTTGTGAATTTGGCGTGCCATAGTCACAGATAGCTGCTTTTTCAGTTAATATACGTACCTTGTTATTGATCATTACAAAAATAATTATGTTAATAAATATCTGATTATTCTCGCAAGCACTCTGAAGTTGATATTAAAAAATGCTTTTTTATTTAAATAAATGACAATAATATCTGTGTTACTTTTAGAGATAAAGTCTTCCTACAATCTATTTGAATTCCCATTTAATTTTATTGCGCTTCGATTTTGCAGACCTATTTTTGCATTCATACAGAAGCAGCATTTACTCAAAAACTTTCATTTTCCTTTTGATATATGGAATATAACTAATACCTGTGAATGTATTCATACAAACTAAAACAAATTCTGAATGAATATATATATGATGAGCGTGCTTAACATCATAATACATAAATATACACGCTTTTTTTTTAAAACCAACATGCTACTAATGCACTGATCTGTGCTCATTGAAATAAGTGCTAAATATCTTGAAAAGTTATATTTCTTATGCATTAACCATGTTTTTTTATAATACGTTATAATTTACGAATTATTACTGACCAAATAACCCAAATTTATTCAAAAATGCCTGGTCATTTGTACAGAATTCTTAATTCTCTATTTCGTAGATTTTTAGGAAGAAATAAGATTGAGAACATAACTGAAAATCAGCTTGGAAAAGGTGCTTCCTTGAAGAAATTGTAAGTATTTAATTACCAATCTGCTTGGAGATGATATATAGACCATGCCTGATGTCTAATCTACTTAAGAAAATGGACTTTACATAATAAAAACTGATTGAATCAAATTAATCACTAGAAATATTCAACATCATACATTTTTGTGAAAATATATTTAACCTGATTACAATTTATATTTATAAATTCTTTATCTATTTATGCTTAAAATTAAAAAAAAAATAGTTGTTTAAGGACAAAAATTAGTTGAAATCGATTACCAACAACATGTGTCCTAATTTTTAGCACATTCTTTCACAGTATTTCCTCATTTTAGGTATTTGTACGAAAATAGATTAAGTCATATTCACCCTGACGCCTTTACCTACTTGGAACAACTAGAAGTACTGTGAGTATAAACATTTCGTGTTCTGCTTGTGTCAGATTGTTTTCAATATACATAAATATAATGTGGGCGAAGAAATTACATGTATAATAATTGCTGCAATTTATGAATATATGAACTTTTGATATGGTTTAACGATTTGAACGATATGAATATAACATTAGCGACAGAAAATATAATGAAGTGTCTCTCTCATTCTTGTTTTCTTTATTCTTGTAGATCGGCATCATACAACCACCTGAAAATAATCAAACGTCAATATTTCTGGAAAACAATTCGACTGAAGTTATTGTAAGCGTAAAACATATAACATAAAAGCAAATTTTGATATGCTTATCTGTAGATTCAATGATTAACAGCAGTCTGACTAAAACCAGCACCGACTACATGTATTTCACTTCGTCCATAGGTCGTCCGTAGGGTCCGTGTTAACAATATTATCGGAGAATATTTTCTGTAATTTAATTTTGCAAACCATCTATTAATGAGGAGTTTAACTTCTTGGTGAAGCAATTAGGAACATGAACATTTGTATATTGAATTCCGGTAAGACGAATATACATAAAGTACTAGTATATTCATAACAATCCACAAACCTAATTAACTTTTTTGTATTCAAATGTAACATATTTATATTGATAAATAAGAAATTTATATTGACATGAAAGAAAGGATGATTGAGAATTATAGAGATTTTTTAAAAATAACATACAAGATAATATGGTTATACCCCGGTATATCCCATCCTAAATATAAGTTATTTTGCTGGCTATTAGGTTAACGTAGTATATCTGTTATGTTTGTCGACATATGTAACCGAACTTATGATATCTATTCAATGAAATATATTCAAATTAATGTATATGTACAGATTTACTTTTGAGTTTCCTTTACAAAAGTGTAAAGTTACATTTGGACATAAGAATCTAAAATTAGCTCTAGGAGTTTGTTACATTTGCTACTTTATTATTTTTTTTTTTTACAAATGGTTATTCTGGTAATGTTTTGTAGAGATTTCAGCAAAAACAAAATTGAAATGATAGAGGACGGTGCTTTTGAAAAGCTTCCAAATCTTCAGAATTTGTAAGTAAACTTCAGAAAAAATTTAAAACTTGTTAAACTTTTATTGAAAGCAACAAATAAATATTAATATACGTTAATCGAGCTTTAAAAAGGGATCATGTATTTTACATGTAAGTTCCAATGTTTCTGAACCACCCTTGGTACGCTAGAATATTTTCTTTTTTACAGACGTCTAAACAGTAATAAGATTAGAGCGATCAGCAATGACACTTTTCGCATGGTTTCAGGATTGGAAAAATTGTAAGTACTCGTGGTACATATGTAAGAAAAAAAATTAGCAGATTTGAATAGGAATTACTTTCTTTTGGTTTGTTTAATTAATGGAGTTTGTGGAATATATTTTACAGAGAATTGCAAGATAATGCCATTCAAACAATAGGGAACCTTGCTCTACGGGATCTCCAAAATCTACGACTGTTGTATGTAAATTTTCCAGTTCTAGTGCTAGTGTAAAACATTTATGTCAAAACTGCAGATAAGGTTACTTTGTTTGATACACTGCACCGCCATACGCTGAATTTGGGGTAGTGGTGTGATATCAGGATTGTACAGTGCTGATTATGCGATGCTGCGATGTTGATCAATAATTGTTAAAGATGTGATATTAAACGAAAACGAAATCTATCACTTTGTCTAACTTGTGACTTCGTATTACATCATCGCGTCGTTATTCTTTTGTCCCATTGTATCATCGATACATTATCAACGTTCCATCAATTAAAACTTATGGCGCGAAAATGAACAACTGTCGAAGTTCATAATTGATACACACGCAAAATGATTTGTATTGTAGGTCAATGAGCAAAAATGAATTGGAGACCCTTCCAACAGGACTTTTTAATGGATTGGATTTAATAGAAGAAATGCAAGTATTTCAGTTTACTACATGTTTTTACCTTCGGAAAAAGAAATGGAATGTGAATATTTTTTTTTAATTTTCAATCTGCAAGTCCACTTTTTTGTATTATATTTCACATTTTTCAGACACCTATTTATCCATTTATCAGACGTCTGTTGAACACATTCTTCAGATTTCTATTTATATATTTTTTAGATTTCTATTTATACATTTTTCAGATTTCTATTTATACATTTTCAGATTTCTTTTTATACATTTTTCAGATATCTATCTAGTAATAAACTTGCTGAAATCCGGAAGGGAACTTTTAAGAATTTATCAAAAGTGAAATACATGTAAATACTAGTAACTTCTAATACTTTGCTAATTCTTTTTAAAAAATATTATTTTTATCTATGTTGATTATTTCAAGAAGAATAAGTGTTAACAAAATAACAGATATCAGATGTCCTTTTTTCTGAATTACAGTGTACTCAATAAAAACTTTGTGAATAGAGTTGAAAGTCATGCATTTGAGTCTCTTCCTGCTTTAGAGAGAGTGTAAGATATCATATTCAACAATCAATGGGTGAATTATATACAATACGCTCAAAATATTAAAAACAATATTTGAAATAAAATAATTATATCAACAACGGGCTTCTAATATTTTCAGATACCTAGACGGGAACAATATAAAAGAAATGCAGAAAAATTGTTTTGGTAATGGAACGAAACTTGATCGTTTGTATGTACATGTATTCATATAGATATGTATGTACATGTATTCATATAGATATACTTTGCTAAAGGATGTCAAAAATTGTTTTCAATGCTTATATATGTACTTTATGCTGTGGATATTTATATTGACCATCTTAGGTATCTGGGTTCCAATCCTTTGAGATGTGACTGTGGAATGAAGTGGTTAATGGACTACGTGAAAACCCATCACACCTCGCTAGAACTAGAGAGCAGGGAAGGAAGTCGTGTCGATGTGGTTTGTGACGAACCAGATACACTTAAAGGGAGACGTGTACTGGATCTTCCTGAAAACAGTTTTTACTGTGGTACTACAACACTTTTACCTTTACTCAGCTTATACAAAATATATTCTTCCCTTTCTCAGTTGATACAAATATAGTCTTCAGCACTAAATTTAGCGAGTAACAACTTCCTAAATTGCTTGTGAAATTTCTAGAAAACACACAATCCTAAATCATAAAGTCACTTTGAGTGAAAAAATTTCGAGAGGAGTTTAAACTTCTAACTTAAATACACGAGTATATGCAGATAGCGGACAATATTACATCTCACAAGGTCATTAAAATATACAATTTTCGGAGCAGAGCAAACTCGGATCACTAAGACATCAGAGGTGGGATCAGGTGCCATGAAGGAGTGAGCATCCCTTGCCTACCAGTCAAACCCGTCGTGTGCTCCTTGTCATGATCGGGAAATAACGGAAAATCCGTTAACAATTGAGTTTGTAAATAATAGCCTCAAAATAAGTATTAAAAACGTTGGTCAGCCATTGACTTAATGATAAATTGTATTTGCTGACAAGGTCATTATATCCACCATAGAACTCAAGAAATGATGCGACTTTAAACTTTAAATTTTGATTATACAGAATCTCATTGGGTCCAGAATCGATTATAAAATTTAATTCCAGAATGTCGAATTCCTGGAATCATGTACAGCGGGACAGAAAACAAAACAATCAAAGGTTTAGGATGTCAATATTGGTCAGATCAGAAACCACACAGACATGACTATGACATGCTTGGTATGAACCAATCAAACTACTGCAGAAATTTTGACCGTGACAGAGCATGGTGCCTGACCAATCAAACAGGTGTATTGTGGGATTACTGCTATGTTCCGGTTTGTGGTATGTCTTACATCAAGTTTACTATTGTGCTTTTCATAAAGGGTATAAGAACGTCCTTGTTTAAGAATACAAAAATGTACTGATATTATATTTACATACTTGTATTACAAAAATATAACTTTCCATTCTTTTCTATTCCAAGGAAATGATTTGTTTTGCTAAAAAGGAACAATGAAAATTATGTCTCCATTTTTTAAAAACTAATACTTGGATATCAATAGTACTCTTTTATCTAATAAGCTGTATCAATATAGATTCTTTTAGTTTAAATATTTCTAAAGAGATTTGCTTATTCTTATGGCAAACATAAAAATATACCAACATTTCAGCAAATCGTACAAAAAAAACTTCGAAACTTTAATCATCTTGACAAATACATCTTCATTTCAATATTGTAAGAGTGTACATTGAGAAGCATAAATTTAAAATTGTTGCATGAAAAGATTTCAATTTCAAGCTTTATTTTGAGACTTTTTGAATTAAGATATAAATTAAAGAGTAATCCTTCTTGGCTTAGGATCGGATAACCTTAAGAGGAATATGCTACCTGATTTAAAGTTAACATATTCAAAATTGAGCACATTGAATTTCCTTAGACTAGTTGGTTTGATCATGAATTACCCATACAAATTTCTGTGCGCCTATCTATTGTATTTAGTTATGATTTATTGAATGTTTTTATGAAGTAACGCATTAATATCTGCTGTAAAGTCGCTAAAATGAAAAGCTCGATCGCTTTTTAAGGTATATCACTCGTGAAATTTGTTATAGCAAGGATTTTTTGAGGAGTATGTTTTGGATTAGTACTCATATAGAATGACTCAAAATCGCACAGAAATAGGGGGTCAGTCTGCATCTTACTGAGCTACGGTAAAATTCTGTTGACCTTTGTGCACTTGAATTATAACTCTTTACTTAATTACTTTAACCTTTATCATAGTTTGTCAGATGTAACCAGGGCAATAAATACATGTATAATCTTATTTTACGTAAAATAGCTTGTCAAGAATAATATTTATCATTGAACAAGTCTTGCAAATTAATGCGCGTAAATTATTGTGTGACCTTTTTGCATTAAAATGTAACATATTTGGAATATCAAAAATCTAAATAGGCAATAAAACATTTTTCTTTTTACGACCCAATTGCTGATCAGTCACAAGTATCGAGTTGTTTAAAATAATGAAAGAAAAAGTTGAGAACAGTGTCAACTTTGAAATATTGGTCAAAATATTTGATTTTCATGCGGAAAACGGTGTAAATGTTATCTTGACTTCTTTAACATATCTTCATTTACCGGCAAAGTTTATTGAGGGAAGGTGTAAATTTTGTTTTAAAATATAAATTGAGACCTATATTAAATATTCCTAGCAATATCATAACGGAAAAGATTCTCCGAGTAAAAGTATGTGAAGCTAAAGTTCCAAGATAATATAAATTAAATAAATGTGCAGATTTGCAGAATTTTCTGCTAAATATCCTTCCACCACAAGAAATAGTCCCTCATAAATCTTGCTTTTTTGTGGATTTTTGAGCGGTTTTTTTTTTCATTGAAAATTGTACAGTTTACACTGTTGATTTTAAACGTGCTATTTAAATTGAATTATAATATATAGTTTTGAAGTAATAGGTTCTACGTGAACTTTTCTTAAAATCTGACGAATGACATACCTTAAATGCAAATGGTTTTGAAATATTTAAATTCTGTATTTTTCGTGAGTAGTAGATTGTAATTTAAAGGAAAAAAAAATTAGTCTCAATGAATGACCATCGTCTGTCTGTTCATCTGTATGTCTGTTTATCCGCAAAAAATGCTTTGATTGGTACCCACACCTTCGATGTATTCGTTGCTAAGACTCTATACTTCACACGTATTTATTGTGACAAACCCTATTTCTGAGTATAGAAATATTTTTAATCTTTCGAATTTGATCTTGGAGTTTTGTCTACGTTTGAAAACTTAATTTAGCATAAGCCATAACATTTGAACAGTTGCTGATGTGGTCTTTTTTTTATTTCTAACATGTTATGCTTGTTAAAAAGACCTTCGCGATGATACCCACAAGTTTGACCTGGAGTTTGACCCATTTTAAAAAATAAATTAATCCTGTCACTCACTTTGGATTGGTTGGGCTTTCATATTTCATATGTTTCAGATTTGCTTGGGCTTTCATGTTTCATATATGAATTAATGAGACGAATTCTTTTTTTTAACAGCATTCTCTTCTTCTTTACCATACTTACATTTGAGAAACCATAACCTTTGCTATTAGCAGGTATGGTGGGCGTTCACAAACACATCTACTTAAGGATATCCGATCCTCAGCCAGGAAGGATAACTCCAAAAATTAATATTTAATTTGAAATGAATCAAAATGAATATTGAAAATGAAATTTTTTCATGCAACAATTTTCATTTTATTCATCTTTACAAGATTAAAGGTTTTTGGAAGTCTGATAAAAGGTACTATACAAATTGACATTTGTACCCCCATAAAAGGAAAAGAAAATAATACAGTTTTAGAGAAATAAGATTTTCTTGAATCCAGCCTTAGATATCAATGCTTATCAGCATGGTATGAAATAATAAGTGATTTATGGTGTCTGGCAATGATAGCAAAAGCCTTTTACATTAGTTATTATAGAATACATGACGTAAACAGAATACAAAAAATACTAAATAAGTATAAAAATCATAACAACTTTTCTGAATGCCTGGATACCTATTGCTTTTTAGCCTAAAATATATATGTTGATCCATTTGCAATTAAAAAATGCATTGCTGATATTCTAATTCGCTTTTTCTGCAAAAATATTGGAGATTTGACAACTATATAATATGATTAACTTTGATCTTTAACTTTCAAGAAATACTGTGGATAAATTTACATAACCTTGTGGATTCAGAGATATTTTTATTAGTATTTTTGATTACTTAACTGCTCATTTTATAAACCTGAGGATCGGATTACCTTAAGTTGATTTCTCAGTAAAAATATTACATGAATAACGATATGATAATTATTTAAATGATAAATGTATTTCGTGTATTAAAACAGGAAATATGTGTTATGATGTGAAGTCTTCGAGATCCTTGCACAGATGTCCCGTGAAAACCTCTCATTGCAGGTAATCTTTCATTAAAAAGCAGTAGGAAAAAACTCGCATGTTTAATTCTTTTTAAATACCGGTAAACATGTCTCATCCATACAGAAATATTCAAAGTCCGTTCTTTTTTCTCCTTGAGAAAGATTCTGTGTATCACATCAACAATACCTAAATGGCAGTAAGAAACTATTTCCTAAAAAAAAAAAGAACGTACATTTATAATGAATTGAAAAATAATTGAGACATCCAGTGCTATAAGAGTGCACATATATAAATCATTAACCGCTTATCTGCGTCCTGAACTGTAATTATGTTTTGGTTTTTAGTGAAATTGAAAAATTGGTCAGTTGTCATATTTCCCACGTGGAGAAAACATATGAGATAGAATGTGTTGACTCCTGGATGATGAGAAGGGCTATCGTGTCCAGCCTTGTGGAGCACAATGTAATTACAGAGCAATTAAGACTCAAGTGTAAGCAATCTGGACTTGTACTCACCATTCATTTTTGCAGAAATTAGAACAAATTAAATCGACAGTCATATTCTTTTTGTAAATTCTTTCTCTCCGTCATTCTCCATTTGTATCTTTTATACCATTAACTGTGCAAAAACAATGAAAGTATCGTCTACATTTTAATAAATAGAACATGTAGAAGAATTGAACATAATATGAAAATGAAATCTTTTACAGGCTTTCCCTCGCCATGTGCTTCTGAAAATTTCTTGAAATTAGCTAAGTCATGGTCATACACCGGTTTGTTGCCTTATTCCCAACAAATTTTCTGTTGGTGAGGATGCTTTCCTCTAGCTTCTGTTGATGTATTCCCAAAAAAGCTAAAAATAATTAACTTTTAAAAAATATCTATACTCATACATGGGTATTTAAAATAAATATTTCATCAAAGAATTTATATAATGATTTTTCTCAACTTAAACAAAATTTTCTGAATATTGTTTTCACCAAGACCTCTTCTGGGGTATTACTAAGTTTGAATTGACAGCAAAGCAGGCAAATTCTTAATGAATAATGATTCCCTTTTTGATTTAGGTCTGTGATCCGCCTTGTTAACAATGGAATAGCTGCCATTACAGATACAAACAAATCAACATGTTATACTAGCGACAAAAGGAGGTTCCTAAGTGCCATACAAACTAAACTAGAAGGAATGTTGGATAAAACTAAATTTCACATATCTGAATGTGAGACGATATTTAAAAAATACACATGTATTTACATTATCTGTTTGAATTTTTGAAAAATAAGATGTACAAAATATATATTAAATATTTGATTTAAGAAAGATAAAATCCGACAAATATAAAACGTCCCCCCTTCTTTTAATTTCAGGTCCTTTAACAATAACATATGACAAGACTGAAGGTAACCCGGTTTGTAATCTAAACATAATACCTTGTAGAATAAGTGGTTGCAAATCATTAATCAATCTGATTTGAAAACAATTAATCACATTACAATTTAATTTTAAATTTCGTTTCAATTTAATTGATATTGTTTTTTAACACACTGGAATGCTTATAGTTTTCTGTTCCATTTTTAAAGGAGAGATAGAGATCACCAGAAGCACCACGAAGATAGAGACGTTTATACTCACAAATTTACACTATGGTATTAATAAACATATAAAGTTTCTTCTAACAATCTTTTTTTTTCGACTTTCTTGATTTGTATATTGACGTCGTATTTGATCGAATAATGCTAAATGTTTCTATAGTAATAGGAGGAATTGCTGGTGTTTTATTGATTTTGGTGTTTGTCCTTGTGGGTCGCCTTAAATTTAAAAGGTAGGGGCGCCTTAAGGAGGAATACCACACCAACATTTTATTTCATAGATTTTAAAAGTTTGCTGTAACTGAATGCATTATATGAATATTTCATAAAGTATGTAAAGAAAAGTGGTATAGATATTTAATTTTTTTAAATAAAAGAAATATTTCTGAAAATAAAACATTATTTGTGAATATTTTTTTTAACTTGTGGTTAAAATCTTCACAAAACCAGTCACAACTGGGGAGAACATGAGTGTTAATCGTATTCATAAAAGAAACTGAAATGTTTTTTTATTATTATTATTATTATTATTTTTATTTTATTTTTTTTATATAAATAATTTTTTTTATAAAAAAAAATATGAAAAAAGTAAAAAGTCTATCCAGCCTTTCTTTACATATTTATTAGATATTCATATGATGCAATCATTTACAGCAAATTTTTAACTCGAAAGTATCTAATTTGGATATAAATATTTTTTTTTCACTTTCTTTGAAAAATACAAAAAAATTTCATATGAAAGAATTAAAAGCTAATATTGGTCTTTCAATGATGAAACCATTGTTTAAATAGGATGACTCAGAGATCTATAAAATAAAAAGTGTGGTTTTCCTCCTTAAGAGTCTTTTATCTTTTTCTGACAATTTATGAAATCATATCTTTCGCTAGAAAAAAAAATAAAGTCAAGTGCAACGCACGCTTCAGTGACCTTTTCTTTTGATATCAAATTTAAAGTGAACACACCTCTCTTGCAAATAAAAAGAGAGGGCATTTTATTTTTTTGTATAAGATTTTGAACTGAAAATGCGAAGAAATTGTTTTTAGCAATAGAATTTCCAGAGACAAGAAAGAGTTGCCCAACAGAAGGAGTTATCTTAACAGACAGTCCCACGTTTATCACGAAATCGTGGACATTGACCAGAGCCTGAAGATGCCGTATGAAATAGAGGAAAAGGAAGAGGGGGACGGTCATTCTTACGTCACTCTTCAGCAAAAGGAAAGTGGTCCCAGTGAGAAGCCATCAATGGTCGATGCCAGTAACAATCGGTCTTCTGTCTTGTACATAAATACCGCCCATTCGGAGCAATATGATAAGCCGTCAAAGAGTAAAGACACATCACTAAAAGAAACAAGTATGTTCTTCAAAATCACTTATTAAATAAAAAATACTGGGGTCTTTTGTGAACGTGATGTCTTTCTTGGATTTTTTACAACGTGATTTTAAGATCAAATATAAAGCCAATTGTAAATAATACCCGGTAACTTATGCAGAATGTTGATTACTATAGAAATTTTCCGGTTTTAAAAGAGATATTTGACGCCTCTAAAATATCCTGCTTTAATTAATTCGAATATGGAATTTTTGAAATCTATGTGAAACCCCATGTTAACATAATTTCTATTCCATTATAGATTTGGAGAAAACCACCGAAGGTTTCGTAAAAATACAAACAAGACAAGAGAAAGTTATTCAAGAACTCAATACTCAGCTACTAAAGACATTTCAATATCGAAAGGGAATTGAACCAAAAGTGTAGAGAAATGGAGACGATAATGGTTTCAGAGAACTGTTTCGGGAAATCAATGCTTTTTCCGTACGAATAGAAATATTTTTATATAAACTTTTCGCTGAAAGCTTTTCAAGTTGTGTTCTACAATCGGTTCAGATTTAATGACAAGCAGAATAATTGATTTTCAATTGCTATCTCTTAAATCTCTTTATAAGCTCACCTGAACGATTTCAAGGCTCAATTAAGCTTTTCTCATCAAAACGTATTCGGAGTCCGTCTGTCTGTCTTTCTTGTGCTCTCTGTAAACTTTTCACACTTTCGACTTCTTCAGTACCACTCGGTTAATTTCAACTAAACTCGTCGCATAGCACCTAAGGATGAAGGGGACATAGTTTTTAAGAGAGGACAACGCTCTCTTTCAAGGACTGATTAATTAATTGTATGTTGATTAACATCTCTCTTGAGAATTTTTCACTCATATGGAGACGCCACAACTTGCCGGTGGAGGGCTACAAATTTTGTCCTTTACTCGCTCGGCACTTAGGGTCATTGAGCAGGGAGGATCTTTTTCGTGCCAGCACCTACTGCGACACGGGACCTCGGTTTATATGGTTTCATCCGAAGGACCAGGCTCCACATCCAACAATGGGATTCGATTCCGCGACCTAAGGATCAATTCCTTATTTTGCGACTCTAGAGCAGATGCTCTAACCACTGCAGTCACGTGGGGGACCTCTTTCAATGAGAGATTTCAAGGAGAGATAATTAAAAATCCAGGTACTGAAAGTACTCATGGGAGTTGAACATGGTGTAAAATAAAATCTTCGATCGGGAGGTTAAGTGAGTGAACATTTACAATATTATTTACAATTTTATTATTTTAAATATAGACATCTGTTTCAGATTTTTTGTGTTGCAACAATCTTGAGAAAGACATTCAGAGACATTGAATAGCAAAAAAAAAATGCATAGGCCATAATGCTTGCCTGCCTACATTAGTCTTTTTTTAATACCCCCTGCTTGAAAAGCGGGAGGGTATTTATTAATCGGGATGTCCGTCCATCTGTTTGTTACGCTTTAGGTATACCCATCTCTTATCCACAACTCCTCTTAAACCACTGAATGAAATCTTCATAGAATCTGTATTACATATTGCCGGTGTGCACCTTCTATTACTTTTTCATCCTACACATATTTTGGGTTTCCCATTATATTCATATTAAAGGGGGTTGATCATTTAATAATTCCCTGCTCCTAGTACCTCTAGTTCATCTTCAAATTTGTAATATATTTTTCCTTGGCACCTTTACCAATGTGTTATGAAAATTTCAGTTTCACAAGAATAATATCAATGTTGATAAAATGTGGATTTTCACTCAACATCCTTTTAAGAGCTGACAGGTTTGTTATATAAAACTTCTCTGTGAATATAAATGTATTTCAATTACACGAACATTATACATGGAGTACGTCAGAACTTAAATTTTTTTGATATTATGAAGAAAAAAGCAATACCAAGTTAAAAACAAATATTTAAAGACCAAACATAAAAACAGTGGTATATGTGAGAGTTTGTGTGCGTACAAATTATCTGGTATGTAAATGAGGTTTTCCTTTTATTTAAACAAAAATATACTTCATTTTTTTGTTTTTAATCATCGGTGTCCGGTTTTGATTTTAACATTTATAACAGAGTACTAGATTTAACGTTTTTGGCAGGTGATACTGCTGATTTAGTAATAAATACCTATGTTTCCTAAAGTTTTTATGCATTAATAAATTCATTTAAACCAAGAAAATGTTCAGGAAAAGTTATAGTAAATTCTGTGCACCGGTAAAAAAGAAATTGTTAAATATCCAAAATCCGCCCAGATAGCAGATTGTTATTGGACCTTTGTTGGGCCAACAATGCTCCTTATGTTGGGCCACCGTTTGTATTCAACATTGGGCCATCGGTAATTTGCTCATCGGCCCTTAATCAAACCGACGTGTTGGCTTATTGTTGGGCCAATGTAACAGTTAATATTGGGCCACTGTTGGGCCAATGTATTATTTCAATATTGGGCAAACGTCATTTTTGTACAATTGGGCCATTGTAAGCAGTTAATGTTGGGCCAACGGTAATTTGCTCATCGGCCCTTAATCAAACCAACTTATTGGCTTATTGTTGGGCCAATGTAACAGTCAATATTGGGCCACTGTCGGGCCAATGTATTTTTTCAATGTTGGGCAAACGTCATTTTTGTACATTTGGGCCATTGTAAGCAATTAATGTTGGGCCAACGGTGATTTGCTCATCGGCCCTTAATCAGACCAACTTGTTGGCTTATTGCTGGACCAACGAACGGATATTATTGAGCCATTGTTGGGCCACTTATTCTTTCAATATTAGGCAAACATCATTTTTGAGCCAACGTTGGTTTGTATCTTATTAGCTCTCCATCATGACAAATCATTTGCTCTTCACTGGTTGGCCATTTGTCCTCAAAATTGACAAACAAATACATATATTAAGGTTATACTAGTTTTGTAGTACAGTTTAATGGTAAAAACCCTTTAATACTTTCTATATATGCTAGATTAATAGTTTAATACATATACTCAATATATATCTCATAGCATTGATTAAAAAACTGAGGAAAAAGAAATCAAAATATAAAATTGAATTATAACATACTAGTACTTTATTGCTCAGTGCATGAAGAAAACATTAATAAAGAAATAAAAGTTGATGCTCACTTCAAGTGATAAATGTAGGGTTATATGACTGTATACTCCCTCTCTGATGTAAATTTATGCACAAGTTCAGTAAATTGCAGGTATCAATAAGAAGGTCCAACGAATAAACAAAGCCCCCCTGTTCTTAAAATAATACTAAAATGAATCCTGTCATTTTGTTTACTTACACAAAAAAATGTTTCTGGCATCTGCATCGTGTTTGTAACCGACAAACAGACACAGAAAAGGGTAGAACTACAGGTTTGTCACAGTATATAACAGAAAAAAGCTAGGCACTGCCACTTTCCATCTGATCCCTCTCTTAAGTCTTCTCTTCTCTAGTCTCCTCCTCCCCCTTCTTTTCTTCTCTGTCTGTTTCTTCCTCCCCCATCCCTGTCCTTGGCATACCTTAGCTATTCTTTGATTGTGTTCTGAATGTCTTTTTAGAATCTCCAGTAGCACTAAAATTGTAGTATTTGGTACTTAATACATTTGTTACTTTTCTCAGTAAAGAGTAAACATACGATTAAATTTACAAGTATATCACTGTATGTTTAAGGTGTCAATTAAGGAATAACCGTCTTTTTTGTTTTATGGTGTGATTAAGTGATTAGCTTGCATGATGAAGGCATTTACGCATAACATTTCTACGCTTGATCATCATCATCATCACAACGATTTTGATTCAATGTTGCCCCATATAAAATACATGTATAGAAAAGTCGTTACACTGAACAAATTTTAATTGAAAGAACCCAATTTATGTTTAGTACTGAATAAATTTAGTTTTAACTTCAACAAGTTCAACGTTTTCAAAATGTTTGATCATGTGCTCGACGTTAAGTGTATATAAGTAAATTAAGTAATAGACTTCGGAAATGTATTTTACTAGTCACACATTTCAATCTAAATAAGGGGCAAATTATTTATTGTTTTAACTGTATTAGAACACATTTGTTATTTTATACTTTAATTTATTTTTCTTGTATAAAAACAAAACATTTAATCACTGATAATTTATTTTGTTTTGATAAATTATAAGAATTTTAACAAGCCTTGTAAATTCATTTTATCTAGCTGGTTGTAGATTTATTTTTGATTGTAGAGACGATCAGATTTGTTAATATACAGATTTGTAACAATTGAATGTTTATACACATTGGCCCAATGTTGGTCCAAAATATCGGGCCAACATTGGGCCAAGGAGCAAAATGACACTGGACCAACGTCATTTGCCAACATCGGCCCAATGTTCCAATTGACGTTTGTCAAACAATGTCGCATTCATTGGGCCAATGTTGGCGCAACGTTCGGCCGATATCTGTAGAAATAACACTCTACACTGGGCCAACGTTGGCCCAACATATCGGGCCAACATTGGGCCGATGAGCAAACTTAAATTGGGTCAATGTCATTTGCCAACATTGGCCCGATGTAACTGATTACATTGGCCCAACGTTGGCCCAATGTTAGCATGCCATCTGGGGTACAGTGTTGACCCAACAGCACCTGGCCTCTGCACTTCCCCGTGTCTGCTTTGCGCAGATTTGTACATGATATCGTTTAAAAACTAAACGTTAATTCAGCTGTGCCGAGGCAAACATATTATAAATACTTACAAAGTGGATGCAGATATGCAAGGTATCAGTCTCATTACGCTCGCTCGTGTCAGATTAAAAATGGCGCGGATATTACAAGTAGCCCGGTTGTTGTCTACCCATGATGCTCAGTCAGATTCATGGTATATTGGGCCAAAGTTGGGCCGATGCCAATCCCCAAACAAATATTTTCTCTCATGATAATAATTTTATGATATAATGCGAACAGTTAGCCCAACATTAGCGCACCATTATACATAACCAGCTATCGATATTCCATGTTGGGCCATTGTTGGCCCAATAAAGGTAACCCAACATAGATAATACAACCATAATGTAAGATTGGGCTAACGATGTTCTGCTATCTGGTTTATTACAAATAAAAATAAGCATAAACACAATTCAAAAAATAGAATAAAACACTCTTTGGTGCTGTGATGACTTAAGTGCAAAGTTAAAATGTTGAAAATATCATATCTAAACAAAAGCAGTCATCCAATGATAAGCATGGACATAGAAAGTCCTCTTAATTATTTCAGAATGTGCCAACGTTGTCCCAACGTAAAGCTCAGCAGCTTATTATAAAATTGACACCATCAATTAATTGGCAGTATAATAATTGGGCCTACGTTGGCCCTATATAAATATCCCATCTTTTAAACACCTAAACAAAATAACACTTGTGTGTATTACAAACATTGTGCCAATGTTGAGCCAACATA